GGAGAGGGGAGAGAGAGAGAGAAGAAAAAGAGTACCAAGACAGACCGAGAGGATGAGCCCTGGATAGTCTTCTGAATGTGTTGTTGTTCAGTCATTTTCACTTGTGTCTGACTCTTTGTGACCCCATTTGAAGTTTTCTTGGCAAAGAGACTGGAGTGGTTTGCCATTTCCTTCTCCAGCTCATTTTACAGATGAAGAACCAAGGCAAACAGGGGTAAGTGACTTGCCCAGGGTCACACAGCTAGTAAGTATCTGAGGTCAGATTTGAACTCAGGAAGAGCAGTCTTCCTGACTCTAGGCCCAGTGCTTTATCCACTGCTCCACTTAGCTGCCCCGGTTTTCCAAATACTATTATTCCAAAAAATTTTCCCAATGTCCATCTGTCCACTGTTAATCAGTGATTATTTGGAATTTCATGCTAATTGTATTAAATGTAAGAGGCAATGTCTTATAGTACAGAGAGCACTCGGTTAGGATTCTGGGGTGCTGATTTATAATCTGGTTTTTGCTAGTTGCTAACCATGCATTAAAGATGGTCAATATTAAAGAGGTAGAGCTGAAGTGACTTCAGAGGCCATGGAGTCCGTCCCTTTCGTTTTACAGATTAGGAAGCTGAGGCCTAACAAATTTAAGTGACTTACCCAACGTCATGGAGTAAGTATCCACACAGTAGATAGAGTGCTGGAGTCAGGAAGATGTGAGTTCAAATATAGCCTTAGGCACTTGCTAGCTATGCAACCCTGGGCAAGTCACTTAACCTCTCAACCTCAGCTTCCTCATCTGTAAAGAAGAGATAACACTAGCACCTAGGTACCAGGCTTGTTGTGAGGACCAAATGAAATATTTGTAAAGCGCTTGCTAAGGCATAGTGTCTGACATATAGCTGTGTGCTTCCTTCCTATGTAAAAGTGACCTTCAGCATGGTGGACTACCTAAAGTGTGTGTGTGTGTGTGTGTGTGTGTGTGTGTGTGTGTGTGTGTGTGTGTGTGTCCCTCTCCTTGCTACTTAAGCATTCAGGACATACAAAGGATCACGGGGGTTCTAGTTTACAGGTCTCTTCTTGACCAGCTTATAGGGGAAACCATTAATAGGACAGATAAATATGCTGCTTAAAACTTGAGAAGTTTAATTTGGAATTAGGTTAGATTCTTTTGGGGGGAAATCAGGTAAACATTTATTAATCATATACCATATTCTACTCCCAGCTTCAGGGAAGATAAGGAATTATGAAGGAGATTTTGAAGGATTTGGGAATTGTGAAGATGTTCAAAGATTGAATTTGTCAAGGGGAAATACAAGAAAACTTGAGAATTTGGAGGACTGGGGAGAAAGAGAAGGAAATTGGCAAGACAAAATAGCTAAGAGGCTAGTACAATTATAAAAAGAAAGTTGGGTTTGATTGTCAATGTACTAACAGATGAGAAATCACTAATGAGGTGAAAAGGAAAGTGGTAACTCCAGTGTGAAAGATTCACACAAACTCCTAGGAGCTACTAGAAAGAAGGAAGAAAGAACTGAGGAACCCATTTTCAGCAAAGAGTGTGACGTACTTTTATCACGTTCAAGTAATAGTTAACTATGCTCAAAATGAAAATTGATCTTGCTTCTATAATAGGAAGTAAAATTAAAAAGTAATGGCTTTCTACTTTGTCTTCCCTTTAAAAAAAAAAGCAGAAGGTCAGAAAACGAAAATGAAAAATGGTCTGTAGAAGCAGAGAGTAATCTTGACCAGCACCAGGAGGTTGGAGAATAGAAGACTGTGACACAAAAGGGAGAAAAAGATTATTGAATATGTTGAACTAAGCAATAGATAGGATGTTTTTTTCCAAAACAGAGGGACCAGTTGACTCTATAGAACTGACTATGAAACCTTAGGTCAGCCACTTAAATTCTCTTGGCTGAGATTATATCTATGATCACAAATGCAAAGCTGAAAAGGGCCTCAAAGGCCACCTGCTCCAACTGGGGATCAAGGACTTTAAGTGATTTGCCCATGGGCCTTCAGGTAAGCATCAGAGGTGATATATGAACTCACATCCTCCTAAGCTTCTTTATCCGTAAAAATAAGGGAAGAGGTGGATTAAATGGATTCTGAGCTCCTATCTAGCACTCGAGAAGTCCGTAAGCCTTTGACTCCAGAGTTCCAGTGTTCTTTCCATTGAGACAATACTGCTTTAGTTTTCTCACCCTTGCAGTGAGGGGGTCCAACTAAATAGTCTCTACAGTGCCACCTAGCCCTAATTCTAATTTTCTATGTTCCAAATGGCCTGAGCTTTGGAAATATCTCAAAAGATCCCTGATTTTTCCTTTGATTGAAAAAAGGACATATAATAATAATAATAATAACAGTAGTAGTAGTAGTAGTAGTAGTAGTAGTAGTAGTGGTAATACTAATAATAATTAATAATGATAATAATAATGATGATGATGATGATGATGATGATGATGAATAATAATAATAATAATAATAATGACAGCTAGATGGCACAGTGAATAGAAGTTCTAGGCCTGGAATGAAGAAGACTCATCTTCCAAAGTTCAAATCTGGCCTCAGATACTTACTAGCTGTGTGATCCTGTACAAGTCATTTCATGTTGTTTTCCTCAGTTTCCTCATCTGTAAAATGAACTGGAGAAGGAAATGGCAAACCATTCTAGTATCTTTGCCAAGAGAAATCCAAAATGGCATGATAAAGAGTTGGACATAACTGAAAACAACTAAACAATAATGATAGTAATAATAATAATAATAGCATTTACATAGTGTTTAAGGTTTATAAAGCACTATATATGTGTGTGAAATTATATATATAGTGTGTATATATGTACATATATATAATATTTATATAGATATGTTATATAGATATATATATATGTATATATAACCTCACTTGAGCCTCACAACAACCTTATGATGCAGATGCTATTATTATCCTTATTTTACAGATGAGAAAACCGAAGCTTAGCAAGGTCAAGTGACTTGCCTAGAGTCATACAGCTTGTCTCTGAAGCAGGATTTGAACTCAGATCTGACATTCTGTCCACTGTACCACCTCACTACCTTCCTCTTTTCTCTCTACTCTTTGTGAGTGAGGCATTTTTAGTGAAACTGAAATAATATATTTTTCTTATGAAGCAAGAGTCATTTAATACAGAAGACAAGCAATTTACGTCAGGTCTATTATCTGGAGCCATGGTGACCACTTTAGTGTAATGGGCTGCAAAATGACAAGCAGCTTCAGAGTGAATTTCCAGGAGTCTCCTCTTTCTCTCTATCCATCTGGCCTCTACGCGTATATTTAACCTCTGAAGTACCTGCAAATCAAACCGTATCCAGTGATAACCAAAATCTGCCTTTGCTTGCTACCTTCCTGTGTCTCTGTGACACCAAATGCTGCTGACAAGTCAGTCCCAGGGGGCACAGGGACGGCCTTCCTGGGTCAGCCTTTTAAGAGGGATGTCACTTTCTGGTTACATGCCGTGTTTGAAAGTCCACATGATCTCAGGACTCCACGAACATCCTACATTCCAAGCACTCCTCACAGGGTTGCCAATAGACATCCAATGATTGAACCAAAGATTGGATAAATTCCATGAGTTGTTTAGCAGCAAAATACACCCTCTTCAGATTGCTGAGGAACAATTTCTTTGACAGTATAAAGAGGAGGGCCTATTCAAGCATATTATGATGACCCTCCTTTACCAGCACACTTTCCTCAATACTGAAATTTCTGTGGCTAAAATGGCTGAGTTAAGCAGAAAGGACCATCAGCTCCTTCTCATGTTGTACAGTCTGACTCCTAGAGTCATAATCAGCTGGTGGGTTCAGAAGCTTGATGCTGTCACCTCAGTCTGGAACATCAGGCTCTAGGACAGAGTTTAGCAAGAACCAAAATCGTAAGAGACTGATTTACAATCCAAATTCACAATAGTAGTTTTTGCATTAATAGTCGTTTGCATAGGACATTGCTTTCTAAAGTTAAGTTTACTTAAGATCCCTACTTATAGATCAGAAGGTTGAGTAAGCAAAGCAAAGGGAGGTGAGGATGTCCGTGGGATACTTTCATCAAGCTAGGAAGCTGGTCTGGGTGATCCATAGAATCACAGATATGAAAATGGAAGGAATCTTTTACATCTAACCCCTTAATTTTATTTGAGGAAACTGAGGCCAGGAAAGGTAGAGACCAAATCAGCATTAGAACATTCATCCTCTCTCTCGAAAGCCACAAAATGTAAGGGGTTTTGAGTTCCAAAAATCCCAAGATTTGCTACAGTAACCTGGTGAATTGTTTATAAAGGATCATAGATTTCAAGGCTGGAAGGGAACCAAGTCCCTCATTTTGAAGATATGACTCACAGAGGTTAAATAATTTGACCAACATCACATAGGTAGCAAAAGGCAAAGCTGGGATTCAAACCCAGTCCCTCTGACTCCATAGCTCCTCACTGCCTCCACTCTCAGTATGGGAAGTAGGACAGCATGGAAGGAAAAGTCCTGGATTTGTAGATGGGGGGCTCAGTTCTACCACTTACTAGCCCTGTGGCTATGTGAGCCTCTTCTGTAGGCTTCAGTTTCTTCATCCCTAACATGGGGGATGGGTAATGCCACTTGTTTCTGTATACCAGGCTGCTAAATTTAGGATCCAAGGACCTGCATTTTAATTCAAGGCTTGCCATTCGCTACCTATGTGACCTTAGATGAGTTATTTAACCCCTATGGGCCTGGGTTTCTTCTGTCAAATAAAGAGGTTGAACCATAAAGTCTCTAGCTCTATGATTCTCTCATCTGCCAAACTCCCTCTATACCTGCTACACTCAGAAACAAAAGCAGCAATACTAAATTAAGAGGATTTGTGATTTAAAGCATGATCAGCTTAAGCACAAATGTCTAGCCAAAAGGAAAATAATCCCCACAAGAAAGAATATCTCAGTCGATGAAGGATAACTGGCAGCCCATGGCGAAGCTTTGCATTTCAGCCTGTGAAGATCTGGGTTCTTACCTCCGTGGGTGGTGAATATGCTTTGCTAGGTGGCAGGGCATAATCTTGTTTCTTCAAGTCTTCTGCTGTAAAAATAACAACCATAAAGGTAAAATGGCAAATTCTGACCCCTCCCAACACAACACGTAGTCACAGCCTCATGTTTTCAAAGATGGTTGTGCTCCCAGTGAGTAAGGTTCCTGAATACTGTTATTATTATTAGAATCCCACACTTTGCTATCATTCAAGCTTATTGTCGGCTCACACCTTCTTGTTCGTTCTCTGTTAATTAAGCCTACGTGTTCATTCTCCCTAGTTTTGTACCTCCTACAGCAACCTTTAAAATTCAGTGTTGGAAGCACTTGGACAACTGATAACGTGTGTGTGTGTGTGTGTGTGTGTGTGTGTGTGTGTGTGTGTGTGTATGCATGTGCACCTGCTAGAAATCCAGTCTGCCAGGGGAGGTATTATTAACGTACTAATAATTAAGCTACAATCTCTGAAAAGTTAAAAATGAGTATTACCCAAAGGGCAATGGAAATGGGCAGGGTGGCTGTGAGCAGACTGATAGAAATGGCAAACGGGGAATAATGAAGAAATGAAATAAAGGTCTTGCTCAGAAAAATGGTGAGTGAAAAAGAACAGGGATCAGTTAGATGGCAAGAGTAAGGAACAACCAATGGAAGAGAGCAGAGAATATTTCTTGACATTCTTTGTATTCCCAGCATTGAGCATAGTACCTGGGACTTAACAGGTACTTAACAGGGACTAACAGGTACTTAAGAAATGCCTACTGATTTGACTTGACCTGACTTGGTCCACACATGGCAGTGGTATCCTTGCAATAGCAAGAGGAAAAAAGGAAGGCTTCCAGCACGTTGGGTTGATCCTTGTGCCATACTTATGTGAAGACATGGACAAGAATTGCACAGGATAGGAAGGCAGGGATGGGTTAGGATTTACATTGTTAGAGGGAATATTCACAGTGATTGATGGCACAGATCATCAATTAGAAGATGAATTATTCTGCTCTAGATAGACAACTTCATATGCCCTTAGAAAAGATCAAAGGCTATGCTGAGTCAGCTGAGAAGCTGCCATTACTATTGTATAAATATGGATTGTACAGCTGCTCTAGAAAAGGTTACTTGGGCTGGGTCTCAAAACATCCAGATAGAAAAAGAAACCTCTTGCTATCAATCAAACAATTAATAAACATTTATTAAGTACCTACTATATGCCAAGTGGGCAGCTAGGTAGCTTAGTGGATAGAATTCTGGGCCTTAAGTCAAGAAGACTCAACTACTTGAATTCAAATCTGGCCCCAGACACTTAATATTTGTGTGATCCTAGGCAAGTCACTTAACCCCACTTGCTTTAGTTTCTTATCTGTAAAATGAGCTGGGGAAGGAAACGGCAAACCACTCCAGTATCTTTGCCAAGAAAACCCCAAATAGAGTCACAAAGAGTTGGGCATGACTGAAAAACAACTGAATGAAATAAGCAAGGTACTCTTCTAAGTGCTGAATATATAAAAAGGGGGCAAAAAAAAACAGGTCATGATCTTAAAGAGTTACAGTCTAATAAGGGTGACAACAAGTAAATGAATACATTCAAAGAAATCTATATACAGGATAAATAGGAAATAATTAACAGTGGGAAGGCCCTGGAATTAAGAGGAGTTGGGGAAGTTTTCTTGTGAAAGGTGGGAATTTAGTTGGGCCTTAGAGAAAGCCAGGTGTTTGCCCCAATGTTTACATGTTTAAGATGATACAGACAAAACCTTCCCATACCTGAGTGGTCTTCCCTTTTTCTCTCTTAGGTCATAGATCTGGAACTCGAAGGGACCATGGAGGTCATCTAGTCTAGAGGTGTCCAACATATGGCCCAAAGGCTGCATGCAGCTTACAATATTCCCAGGGCACAAATCAGATTAAAATCTAATTAAGAAATATTTAATGAAATAAATAAAACTATAATAAAACATAGATAATATATTTTAAAACAAAGGCAATATGGGGCCCATGTGGGTCCTAATATTTGGTATAATGGCCCCTGAGTTTGTTTGAGTTTGACACCTTTGATCTAGAACAGCTCCTTTATTTTATAGCTAAGGAAACTGAAACCTTGAAGGAAACTGATTTGCCCAACATCACATAGGTGGCAAGTGACAGAGCTGGGACTCCATCTCAGGTGATCTGACTCCAAACCCGGTACTATTCCCGCCAAAGCTTTGGCATTCTGAATACCATCCCTAATGTTCTTCTATCAAATGAGTATCTGTTATTGGTTTGCTATACATGTCTTTTCTAAATTTAACTTGTTAATGCAATAGATTCCTAAGCTCTCACTAACCACCAATTCTTAGGCCAATCAGAATGATTTATGTAATTAATTAGCATTTCACTTCCCTGTTCATCACTTCATTACCATTTAATGGTTTCCATTTGTAATGATTGGGAGATGAAGCTCCGATGAACAAATAAGAAGACCCCAAACAGATTACCTTAACTGTCATTTGCCTGTAAGGTAAATTTACCTCCGTTTTGGGTACAGAATGGGAAGCTAGATGGTGCAGTGGATAGAGTACCAGACCTAGAGTCTTAGTAAGACTCATCTTCCTGAGTTCAAATCTGGCCTCAGATACTTATTAGCTGTGTGACCCTGAGCAAGTCACTTAACCCTGTTTGCCTCAGTTTCCTCATCTGTAAAATGGGCTGGAGAAGGAAATGGCAAACCACTCCAGTATCTTGCCACGAAAACCCCAAATGGCACCACGAAGAGTCAGACATGACTGAGCAGCAACAGCATAGGGTAGAGAAGTGACGTAAACATGAGAAGAAGCGAGCCATCTGTCACACCCGAAAATCATTTAGGAGGCCTACTCTTATGGAATTTGCCTGACCTAGTTTGTAGAAGGTATGACGCAGAATCTCTCACAGTAACTCACCTCAAATCACTCTCTACATGCTTTATTTTTTTTTCTAAAACAGAACACTTATTTATTATTAGCAATTTATTGCAAAGATTAATAAGGGAATGTATAAAAGCTCTGATCTCTTTGGAAGAATAAAAGTGCATTATCTGATACAAAGTCATCTTATGGTTTTCCCTCCAAATAGTTAAATGAGGCAGAAAGGTCAGCAGAAATTTTGAAGTCCCAAAACAGAGTATTTGACAAGAAAAGGATATGTATAAGGCCTTTGTTTCATTTGTATTTCAGTAGTAAAAACAAAACAAAATAAAACAAAAAACTCAAGATAAACCCTAAAGACTCTAAAACCTGAACGGAAATTAAAGGCCTTCTAGTTGGATACTCTTTTTACAAATAAGGAAACTGAGGCTCAGAAAGAAGAAATAATTTGCCAATATTGTATAAGTAGTAACAGAGAAGCTAGAATCCAGATCTTCTTACTTCAAACTCACCAGATCACACTGGGTGATTATATCTTCTCGAAAATGATGTAAATTGAAAGATGTTAAAGTCTCAGTACACATCTTCATTCACACAGGGATCACTCCCATAAACTTAACTATAAACCCAAGTTGTCCCAAGTTGAAGGCAATGAGAATAAATTCTAGGGAAGGCTATCCAAGTTTGACTCTCCAAATTTGTCATTCACAATGACTCCCTTACTCCGTCCCAATACTGAATACTGATCAACCACGCTGGCATATAGATTCATATGCATTTTGAGCAAGTATAGCAATCAGGTAGATTGTTATAGCGACCTGCAGAGCATATGCCTCAATGGTGATGCCACTGGCAATCAAAAGCTGCTATATGATTCCTGCAAAGGTCACTCCCTGCTAGAGCAGCTTGAAGGGCTTCAGGAATGCCTCTCTGCACTCCTGCATATCAGACAACTTGGAGTGTGCCCTCAGAGGAGGGAAGAAAACACCCAGGGGGAAAACAAAGACTCAAAAGAAACAGAGGGAATGGAAATCCAGAGGCATAGAGATCAGAAGGGCAAAAGGTAAAAGAACATGATACAAAAGAAAAGGAGAATACGGATATATAGCCCCAAATTCTGAGGTCCTTTTTCTCCTCTTCTGTCTGTATCATGTCCTTTATATATGCATACATATGAGTACCTTGTAGAATATATATATATATATATACATATATATATAGCATATGTATACACATATGTATACATACATATACATATATATCCAATGTATAATGTATAACATACATTATATGTATATGTTTTATACACCTATATCCGTGTGTGTGTGTGTGTGTAGATAGATGCTAATTGGATAGATAGATGTAGGTAACAGATAGATATATGATAAGTAGATAGATATATAGACAGAAAGATAGATAAGTAGATAGAGCATTTATTAAGCACTTATCTGTTCCAAATGCTGTGCTAAGAGCTGGACATGCAAATACAAATAAATAATACAAAGCCTCTATCCTCAAGGATATTACATGCTAATGGAGGAAAATAATACCTTTAAAAAAAGTGAAGATGGTGGGAGGGGAAGGGCAAGTCTGCTGGAAATGAAATGGAAAAGTGAGAGAAGTGCTAAGCAATCTACAGGAAGTAACAGTGGAAGGGAAAAAACACACATCTGCTCAGATATGCCATTGCTTCAAGATCTCAATACAGAGTAGCCAATAATCTCCTGGTTTGGCCCTGACATCCTGGATTTAAAAATTTTGCCTTCTCTACTCTCCAGCCTCATCCTGGAATTTTCCTTGATGTCTGAAGCCTCCTTGCCCTAGAATAGCCTATCACTCGTGTGGCTTGCTCACTCAGGAATATTCTTCTACAAGGCTGGCCCATAACCCTTTTTCCCATTGGTGAGCTCCTTCTGGAGCCTCCATTTTGCAGAAGGGCTCAAGCTGCCTGACTTCATTCATCTGGCTATGTCCCTGATATTTTGGGACTCAAAACCATTCCCCTCTCACAGAGAATCTTCTTCCTTCCCTCCTCCCCAATTCCTTTACAGCAAGCACCCTTGTGTGTTCTCTTCCCCAATTAGAATGTAAGCTTTCTGAGGGGAGACATTTCTTTTTTTTGCTTGTGTTGGTATGCCTAGCACTTAGTACAATACATGCAACAGAGCAAGTGCTTAATAAATGATGTTTCCTTCCTTCTTCCTCCCTTTAATATGACTTTATGATATCATTAAGATTTGGCAGGGTTGCCATTCATGACCAGAATATGGTAATTAAAGGATGTATCATACCCAAGAGAATGGAATTGGGTGGAAGGTAGAGCAGAGTAGCATTATATTTCAAAAAGATGTGAAGGGATTCACCTGTACTCAAAAGATAAGAAGGGCTGTATTAAACAAGCTTAATACAGGCAGAAATGGTAATAAGAATGTAAGAAATGTCAGATGACTTAGAACTAGTCTTCAATTTCTTCTTCTCCTCCCCTGTAATGGCAGTGTGGCTGCTCTGGGAACCTCTGCCCTTGGAATACTATAAGAATCTGACCAATGGGTTATATACAGAGATGAAGTTCAACTAGAACAAGGAGACATTAGGCAAGAATGTCTGATAAAAAATAGAGCTTCTTAAAACTTAATAAGGCATATGGATAGCTGCCTGGCCAGGAAAATAACAGTCCTCTTTTTTGTGCCCCCACAAGGTATTTCATGCCTTATTTTCATCATAGCCTGGATTGGTTATTCTCATTTACTCAACTCAATTCAAGTTATTAATCACCATGGATAAGGCCCTGGGCTCTATGAATTCAAAGATGAATGTGGCACAGACCACACTTTCAAGGAGTTTACAATATAATAGAAAAGAAACAACATAGAGATGAATAATTAGGGAAGGTGGGCCCAAGGAAGTGCTAAAAGCAACTGGGAGTAGACAGGAGAAAACAGAAGAACTTGAGTTCCCTTGAAGGAAGGGAGAAACTTCTGATATGCGTAGGAGAGGGAGGAGTCCGTGCCCAGCATAAAAGTCTTAGACTCTGAGAACACACAATTTAAAAGGCGGACTGCTGAGTACAGAATGTAAAGGGGGTTCACAGCTGCTGGTAATTGTTAGTTAGCCCCCAGACTGCAAAAGATCATCAAAACAGACTCTGGATGCTGAGTTTAGTGTGGAAGTAAGACTTGGCCCGTGCATATATTTGTGATAGGGTTGTGAAATGAATGAATTAGAATGTGGGCAGTGTTGATGATAAAATGCGGATCAGAGTGTCAATGCAATTGTCTGGAAGTAGAGAGAGTGTCTTATAAATCAGTGTGTCTGCATGACAGAGAATGACTGGACACCCAACAAATGTGTGGCCAGTATGTAATCTGAGGTTTGAGAGCAGTGGAGTAAGGGGTTTGCATTTGAACTGTGGGAACATGGAAAGACAGGGGACTGGGTCTGGGGGAGGCTGATGAACTTCCTTGCTGCTCTGAATCTTGAGAACATAGGCAACTCTGAGTTCTGATACCCTTCTACCTAACATCAACTTTTAAGGAACAATGAGGAAAGAGCCCTGGCAGGTATAAACATTTTATTGGCATGGTTCTGCACCCCTCTAAAGTCACAGATCATACATTTGTATCGTAACTATAGAGCTGAACAAAGCTGAGGGAACTCAGTCCCAAAGATGATAAATGACCTGCCCAATATCACACAGGCTTCTAATTCAATAACTCTACAGTTTTCTCCACTGCACCATGTTGTCATCCCTTCTCTGCATTAGAAAAGAGATTTTTTGGGAGAAGCCAATAGATCCAGTACTTAAAGATGAGATTGTTTGTGCAAGGTTCTGTGCCAGAGAGACAACATGGGCAATAGGTTAATATGAACCATTGCCATCTAGTTTCTGATTTATTTCAGGTATTACAAGAAAGAACCAGAGGATCAAAAATCTAGAACTGGAATGGACCTTAGAGGTTATTAAGTCCAACCCTCCTCATTTTACAAATGAGAAAACTGAGGCACAAAAAATGTTAAATGTCTTGTCAAGGGACGCATGGCTAGTGTCTAAGGTGATAATATCCAAAACTAGGTCTTCCTAGGTTTCCAAATTCAGCTCTCTCTTTCCTAGATCTACACACTTAAATGTTAGGTTGAAAAATATGTGACCACAGCTTAGATGGAATTGCAGAAGCTCCCATTTGCAGACCAGAATGCAGTATCTCCCTGAACTCAAACTCCCTGAACCTTAAACTTACCTCTTCTATGATTCTCCAAATGGAAACACCATGTCCTAGATCAGGGGAGCTTTTCTATTTTGAGTTTCCTTTGAGGCTAGGAATTCCTAACAGGGTAAATGAGCCTCACCTTGCTTTAGCAGGGAAGCTACAATTCATGCAGTCAGCTTTTGCAATAGATAAGAAAAGGAGAGCTATACATAGTTTGATGTACATCCCAGATTACACAAGAAGACAGTTCAAAGAATCAGAACTAGGAGAGCCAGAATCCCATGGCCCGGAACTCTAAAAAGGGAAATTGGCTAATGAAGTGCAGGGGAGGCAAACAGAAAAACAAAAAAGGAAAAGATAAGGAAAATGGGCCATTAGAGATAGGCATTGTGACAGAAACAAGAAGTCATTAGGAAAAGTTTAAAATATGCTCATTATACTTTGTCTAAGGAAGCAAGGTTGTATAAAGTACATCTTTAAAAGATTTCTATCCAAAGTTAGGAAAATAAAAGTTGGGTGTATAAAGTAAACATGGTGACTTCATCTTTGCAGAGTTCTTCCTTCACTGTGGGACAATGTTGAATAAATGAGATGTTCTTGTGTTTATAGGGATCCACCCAAGACTGCTTTCTCAAACTTTGTCTCTGCCAAAATTATCCTTCATTCTTGACACAAAACTGCTTCAGAAAATCTTTCATTTTTTCAGTTAGCAAGACTAGCTCTTGTCCTTCCAATGGCCTTTGATTGATAAGATGATCATGCTCAGGCTCTGTTAATTGTTAGAACACAGCCTTGCTACTTAACTTAAAATAGACCCATGTTATGTATGAAAGGTCATTGACAGTGAATTAGGTGGGCAATCTTTGAGCTGAGAAGACTTGGATTCAAGTCATGCCCCTGACACATGCTGGCTACTTAACCATGGGCAAGTCACTTAAACTCTCCTTTCCTCAGGCAATTCCCTAAGTAAAGGGTTCTCAATTTTTATTTTTTTTTTTTTGTATCATGGACACCTTTGAAGCCTGGTAAAATCTACGTAGCCCATTAACTGAATAAAATACATGTGATTACAAAGGAAACCAATTATCAAAATATTTTAAAAACAAGGTCATAGACCTCGGATTAAAGACTCCTGCTCTAAAACAGCAACCATTAAATTATTAGACCAGTTTCCAATCTAAATCTGCAGAGGGTGTTTCCACCCCAAGGAGTTCCTTGCAACAATGAAATCACAAGAATAGACTATATATGTTTATGGCTGGAATGACATGCAGCTAGGTCTCATTAGTGTGAATTCCCTGAAATAGTTGCATTATTCAAACTTCCACTGCATGTTTCCAGTGGGCTGGAACCAATAACCATATTTTATATAATTATAACTTCAAGTAGTATGAATTTGAATATATAGGACTATTTCAAAGGATTAATTATTCACACTAATTAAGACCTAGCTATATGAATATTCATATATGTATTTATATGTACACAGCTCCAGGTAGGTAAAGAAATCTAGATATCTATAGCAGTCTCTTAGCAGTCCCACACATCCTTTTCATTCATACAGCTGAGGAGAAAAATAACTAGGTAGTTTGGAGGGAGAGGTGAGCTGGACAAAACTGTGACTTCATCGGTATAAGGAAGTCCCCATGAGGAAACTCCTTCTACTGATGTAAATGGATACTTGCTCTAAAATTTAGCACTTCAGAAGCTGCCTGGAACATTTAGAGGTTAAGCTCTGGGTCATAGTCACTTACAGGGTGTCCCAAAAGACTAGTAGATTTAAATCATACTAAGACTTTTGGAATACTCTGGATGTCAGAGGTATAGCTGAAACCTAGGTCTTACTGACTCTAAGATTGCCTCTCTATCCCCTGTAACATATTACCTCTCAGACAGTATTACAGTCAGGTCCAAATTAGTGCAAATAATGAATTCCCCCTATGGTCCCCATTTTTGAATTCTCACTATTCAAAGGTATAATTATTTCAAATACAGTTATTGGTTCTAGCCCAATGGAAATATGCAATAGGAATTCAAATAATGCTGCCACTTCAGGGGATTCATTATTCACATGAATTGAGACCTAGTCATGCCTTAATACAAAGCATTAGAAGTAACCTAAAAGAAACATATTGGAATAATAGTAGATCTAAGTCTAGTTAGCCAGCTAGTAGTAGTGGATAGAGCATTAGTCTTGGATTTATGAAGACCTGAATTCAAATCTAGTCTTAAGTACTTACTATCTGTGTGACCCTGGGAAAATTCTTCAACTATCAAATGGGGATGACTGTAATAGTACCTCCTTTCCAGAATTGTTGTGAGGATTAAATGAGATAATATTTCTAAAGTGCTTTGTTAACCTTAAAGCACTATAGAAATGCCAGCTCTCATTATTATTATTGTTATTGTTATTATTATTGTTATTAAAATCAGAAAACCTAGAAATTTAATCCTCTCTGTTGTTCACAGAAAATTTTGGCTCCCTAACTATGAAATGAAGTAATTCAACTAGGTAGCTCTCTAAGGTCTGTTTCTACTCTAAAACTCACAGAGTGAGTGTGTTTTTCAGTTTTCATGTTCTTCTAAATCATTCTTCACTAATTACTCCTTCTACTCCTACAGATCCAACCTCTTTATCCTAAATGATTAGCAGTGCTAAAACTTTTTTTTTAAAGTTAAAGGAGAGACATGACATGATTTAATGAACTATGAAATTAAAAGGATATGTACCCTTGGAGAGTGTTTTCTGTTTTTAAAATGTCACTATTTCCTACCTCAGAGTCTCTCATATTAAATTAACCAGTTTTATCCTCAGAATCCAACTGGTTTAGTTGCAATAATTCCCCTAAGAAGTTAAAAGTCTTACCTATGTATTGTCTCCGGGGGATCACTGGGTAGCCAACTCTGAAAAATAAAGGAAAAAAGAGAATTATCTGCCAAATATTATATTACTTCTTCCTTCCCATTGTAAATGATTTGGACACATCATCAATGGGACTTATCTATGTTACCTTGGGCCTCGATTTGATCAACTGAAAGAGCTCAGGCTGAACTACATGGCCATTGAAGTCCCTTCCCATTCTAGATCTATGGCTCATGAAGATATTGTAAGGGTTGGGTTCAGTTGAGTAAATCAATCAAATCATCCCACCTCATTTAATATACATGTGATGTCTTAATAAAGTGAAGATATAACTCAGCCAATGACATTAGAGTAAGTATAGAAATCCCTTGATCAGCTGGAGCACACGTGTCAAATATGCAGCTGTAGGTCCCCTACTACACTCCTGAATGTGGCCAAAACCAAATTAAAATGTAACTGGTAAATATTTAACAAAACAAATAAAAATAAAATGGAACAAAGATAATATTAATGTGTGGTTTTCTAAATCAACATGCAGCCCACACGGATCTTTATGTATGATTTAGTGGCCCCCACCACTGAACTAGAGTGATTTGCCTCAGAAACATATTTGGATTGGCCAAGGAAACTTGGCCAAACCCTTGGAGTTGTCTATAAAATGTCAAGCCACTTTAGGCCTGAGAATTTGAGCATGAGTATGAACCAGGAGAGCATTTCAACGAAATCCCTGAAAAGGAACTTCTGTGTGGGAGAAGAGTTCATCAGCTTTGACCTTTGCCTAGATCTGCTTCTTTCTCTCCTTTTGACTGGAGGAAGACTTTGTGAACTTCAAAGGTCCAGAGAATTTCCCAGCTTCCCATCCACATTGTAGCATCATCCCTTCAGATAGGAGTGACTGGCAAGAGGGTATGCATTAGAAACCAAGAACAGACTGAATGATAAATCCATGGCCCCACAGGGAGTCCAGGAAAGATGCTACACCAAGTCTAAGGGGAACTTTTTGAGAACCTGACAAAGGGAAGAAAAACATTTCTAGAACCCAGGAGCTATGAAGTACCCCTTTGTGAGTTATTTCCTTGCCATATGTGCTTCTTAGACTCTATACATACTAAAAGTCACAGAGTGTGTCCAAGACCTTTGAAGGAATATTTTCTACCAATGGTTCTTACTATTCTTCCTTAATAAACACCCCTTTTTAAAAGCTACTTATGTCTAGCTTACTAATTGGTAATCAATTCATAATTATCTGAAGAAGCACACCAGTGGGGACTCATGAGCCAGATAGTATTAGAAAGATAACTCTAACCTCTCAAGGCTACCTCTAGAACCCCAAGGGGAGATTTAATAAGCCTACCTCTACCATATGAGTGAGGATGAAGACCCTCAGAGCCTGGACCACAATATCATCAGAGTTAGAGCTAGAAGATGATAACACATGCTTTTACTTTGCCTCAGCCTCAAACCATCACTTACTTTCTTTGTTAGTATTAATAGCATCTAGCTCACAGGGATGTTGTGCAGATCAAAGGAGATTATATACAGAAAGCATTTTGAAAACCTTAAAGCACTGTATAAATGTCAGTTATTAATCATCTCCTTGTGATTAGGACTGTAATTATAGTATTATTATTATTATTTCACTTCACTCAATGGCTGCTTCTCACCCCATCTAACAATAGATATCTATATATCTTGTTGGTATTTTATAACCTATGGAGTAATAATTTACTAGGGATAACTTTGAGGCCTCATCAACTTGATTATTCTAATCATGTGCTGCTGAAGAAATCAAAGAGCTGGAAGAAATCACAAAACCACTGACTTGGTTCACTACAAATATTTGCTATCTACTCTTAAGCTAGCCCTCACTGCTGAAAGTCAAACATTCTATTCCTTCCTAATTAATTTGATATGCCACAGCAACCTTTCTAAAACTTGTCTCTTCAAAACTCCCATGGTGCCCTGTCCTCCTAACCCCTCAGCTGAAGCCCTAACCTCGTTCTTAACTGAAAAAAAAATGAGGCTCTTTGTCATGAACTCCTTCTCCTCCTCCTCCTCTCTCATCATCCATCTACTTCTTGATAGCAGGGACTGTTTTTGCCTTTCTTGATATTTCTAGCACTTAGCATAATGTCTAGCACTTAATAGATGCTGGTTGATTAACTGACTAACATGCTTAGACTCATTTTAGAGGCTAAGGCAGGTGAAGAGACTTCTCCAAGGCACAAAAGCATTAAGAGCCAGGACTGTAACCCATATTTTCCACCTAGTGTATTATACTTAAAGTCAAAAGGACCCTGGAAAAGTCATAGGACCTATCTCTGCCCCAGTTACCTCAGCTACAAAGTGGAAGACAGTGGGGTCAAACTTCATGATCACTAAGATCCCTCCTAGTCCTCAATCTGTGACCACATGATCCTACAGTTGAAAATTAAGTGCTATTTTCACTATACCAAAGTTTAACATAACGGCCTATATCTAGTCACTCTGGTAAACATGTTTTTAAAAGGAACAAAATAAGACATCAGCATGAGTGAAAACCATGCAGGATTTTAAATGAGCCACTGAACCAACTTAGAGTGCTGAAAAAAGAACCAATGGCAGTGGTCCAAGAAAACAGGCAAGATATCTCATTATGTCCCCAGGTAGATAAAAGACACATTCGAAGAAATTAAGCAAGATGACAATGCTAAGAAAATTACAGGGCCCAATAAAAGAAGAGCTTGAAGAAAAGAGAACATTAGATGTGAAAATTAAGAATTAGAGGAACTAATGAAGGAAATGTCCAACATGGAAAATCTAATTGCAACCACCCACTCACCTCCCTCCAACCCATATGCATCAAGAGAAGCAAGTGATTTACCACAGTAGAACATAGAAGTGGCACACAGACACACACACACACACACACACACACACAATCATTGAGTTGTACAAACTATTAGAAAACATACAGACCTGGAGGATACACTAGGATACAGCAACCTTGTTGATGTCCCAGAAAAATTAAAAAAACCAAAGAATCTGACTATTACATTTCCAGAAATCCCCTAAAATTCCAAGACTTGACAAAAGCAATTGTCCAAATATAGAGAGAAATAATTCTCAGAATGACCTGCTAGGAGGAACCCAAGATCATATACATTATAGTTAAACTCAAAGCTAGAAAGCAAGGAAGTCGTGAGATAAGCTGCCACAAGTGAAAAAAATCATTTATCAGGGAAATACAATTAAGATCACAGCGGACTTTTCCAGCAGGATGAAGGAGGTTGTAAACATTGGACTATACCATTTTCAAAATTAAGAATTCTAGATTAATTGCCCATGCTTATCTTCTAAGCAAACCCAATGTGCTTTATGAAGACAAGAGATGGCTATTTGAAAAGTAAATAGACTTTGAAAAGTTTACAAAGACATATCCCCTTATAGGAACATATTTAATGACAAGTTTCCTAACCAAAAAGATAAGTATTTAAAATAATCAAGATAAAATAATTGCTAGCATAATATGAGGAGTCTCAGAGCAATGCACTGACTAAATCACAGAGGTTTCAGAAGAGTGTTTTAGAGAAACTGAAAGAAAAAAGTGACCAGGGATCAGTATAACCCCAAAGCAAAGTTCCTATCTTTGATAAAGGGGAAATCTAAATTAAAGTAATCTATATAGTTATTAATAGAATAGTTCTGTTAAGTTTGGATTAGTAATAGAAAAAGATACGAGTGTATGTATTCCCTTTCAAGAGAATGACTAAAGAGAAGAAAAATCTAACAATTATTATCACTAAGTACAAATAAGCTAACCCCCCCTCCAATTACCTCAAAAGAATTACCAAATTGATTTAAAAGCAGACCCCAACAGTACTCTGTTGACAGTAAACATATATCTAATTCAGAAATATTTAAATAGATTCAAAATGAAAGACTGGTCTAAAATTAACCATATTACTATCAAATCAGGAAATACAGGCATAGCACTAATGATATCAGTTAGAATTAAATTCAAACCAGAAAATATGAGAGCCAAAGAACATTATATTATGCTAAAAGGTTTATTCAAAATGAAAGGACAGGGGGCAGAGCCAAGATGGCAAAGTAAAAGCAGTGACTTGCTTGAGCTCTCCCCCAAAACCACTCCAAATACCCATAAATATGGATTTAAACAAATTCTAGAGCAGCAGAACCCACAAAAAGATAGAGTGAAGCAAATGTACAGCCCAAGACAACTTGGATGGTTAATTGGAAAGGTCTATTGCACTGGGCTGAGAGGAACGCAGTTCAGCGTGGGCCACACAGGGAAAGACCAGGCCTCAGTGATCCTGGAGCAGGCCTCAGAAGACTAACTCATGGGCAGCTGTGGCAGTTTCCAGACTTCTTAACACACAAATGCCAAAGACAATTTAGAAAGTCAGTAGGAAAGGTCTGTGACCATAGTGAGATAGAAGCTTGGTCCTGGTCCTAATCCCAGTCCCAGCACAGCCCCGGATGGCAGCTGCTTCTGGAGCTGTTGGCCCACATACAGAGGTGGGATCAAGCAGCTGATCATAAGGGGATTGCAGGGATCTCTTTGCTGGAAGTGAGCCAGGAATCTCTTGCTTTGCCCCTGCTTGGATCTGGGTCACAGTTCTGGGTGAAGTCCTGGAGCAAAGAGGAGTGTTGGTGTGGTGGAGCTTGTAGTGGTGCTGAAGAGAAAATCCTTCTCACAATTCCAAGACAGAAAAGAGTGCTTGTGGTCATTCATAGACCAGAGCACAGGCCAGGAAAGGTGTAAACACCTCGCCCCTTATCATACCACCTTGCAAGAACTGAAAATTTACATGTCCCTACAAGTATCTCTGAAAACAGCTGCACAAAACCCCCAAAGCTTGGGACAGTACATTCTCCACACTAGAAGTAGACCCCTACCTTAACAAAGAGTTTAAAATTCAAGTAATTGTCTGGGAACATGAGCAAACTGTGCAAAAAAAGTCAGACCATAGAGTCTTCCTTCAGTGACAAAGAAGATCAAAACATACAACCAGAAGAAGATAACAAAGTCAAAGCT